CCCAATAAGACAAAATTTTCTTTACCTCTTGAAACATTTATTCTAAAGGATGTACATTTGAATCAGATAATAAAATTTTGTCCATGTAATGATTCAGAAAATTGTTTATTTATCATTCCCAATGACTAACTTACAAAATATTGGCACAGGGTGATGCTATTTAACATTCCCTGTGTGAGATACTTCCATTGATATCTTTTAGCAGGCTGAGAATTATTATAAGTAGGCATGGTGAAGGCAAAATTTTCTGTCTTTTTTTTTGTAAAGGTATAGTGAAGACACAATCTTTTAAGTCAGTAACTAAAAGAGGCCATCCTTTAGGCAACAGAGAAGGCAAAGGAATGCCAGACTGTACAGAACCCATTGGCTCAATCACCTTGTTAACAGCTCTTAGATCTATTACCACTCTATTTTCCAGATTTCTTTTTAATAACACATACAGGAGAATTACAGGGCCAATTAATTCTTCAATATGCTGAGCATTTAACTGCTCCTGTACCAGCTGTTCTAAAGCCTGCATTTTCTCTGTTGTTAAAGCCATTGTGTAACCTCTGCAGGCTTAACTGTCAACCATTTTAAAGATAGGGCTGTTGATGTCTTTGAAAGATTAGCAGCTGTTGTGTCCTGAATGGTTGGTGACTATTCTTTATAATACCTACAAATATTTTCTCCAGAAACACACATTAATTTATGGTTTGTTTCTAAGATTGGGGGAATGTTAATGTGAGTATTCTATTGCTTTAACAAATAATGTTCCCACAGATTTATTGCTACGTTAGTATCATTGTCTTTAATAATACTCTCTGTGCTTCTGGTCCAATACATTCAACCCATCTCATGCTGTTTTACCTGAGATAAACTTCTAACCCCTAAAAGCTAAACATTTACTTTCTGAAGAGACCAATTTGAATGCCAAGATTCTTATGTGTTTATTGTTACATCTGCACCTGGGTCTATCAGACCTTCAATGACAATGTCATTTATTTGTATTTTTAATTTTGGCCTTTGTTCATTTATTGAAATTTGCCAAAATACCCGCTTTATGGTTTTTCCTAAAGTTTTTGTTCTCTCTTTTATAGCTGTTCTATTATCCAGAGCAGTATGGTTTCCTACAATAAGCATTAGGTTCTTTAATTGCTCTGAGAAGGAGTTTCCTCTCTGATGACAGGAAGCAACTGAACCGGATTTAGCATAGGGGACTGAAAGAGGCCTATTAAGGAGTTTTCCAACAGCGATAGGTTAACTTGAATGTCTTTTGTTGATATACATTCATTAATAAAATATCTGTCTTTGCCACACCTTCTGCAAAATTCAGAAAGGAGGGGTGTTCTGTTTGGATTATGCTTAATAAAAACTTTTTTTAGGAACATCCTGTTTATAGTCCCTTTTAAGGTGACCTTGTTTACCACAATTGAAGCACTTGACATTTTGATTTTTCCTCAGACTTCTGAAAATCATTTCTCCTATCCAAGCATGATCATTGTCATTAGATTCAAATGGTCCATTTCCTCCAGGGGCACTGATCTTGCCTTTAAAGACCTAATCATCCTTTTGCATTGAGAATTAGCATTTTCAAAAGCCAGAGATTCAATTATTATTTGTCTAACTTCTGTATTTGTTATTATTCTATTTACTGCTGATTACAGTCTTTGTAAGAAATCAGTGAAGGTTTCTTTTGGACCCTGTATGACCTTAGTAATTGACTCAACCTTCTTTCCTACTTCTTTAATTCTGTCCCCAGCATTCCAAGCTGCTACACAGCATAAAGCCAGGATGGCATCATATAGGGATTGCTTTTTTTTTTTAGCATAATCTCCTCCAAGAAGTTGATCTTGGGAGATTTCCATACTTCTAGCTCTACTCTATTGTTCAATGGTCTTAGCCTTGTCTTTGAACCAGGTCCTCCATTGTAATTGTGGACCAGGCTCCAAGATTGCTATAGCCAAGTCTCTCCAGTCTTTAGGGATAATTCTATTACAAGTTGAACATGAGTTTAACATTTGCTTCACAAATGGTGAATGCATGCTATATGAGATTATCACATCCTTGAATCTCCTTAAATCTGGCATTGCCACAGGAGTCCAATCAGCCCTTATAGAGCCTCTATCATTTGGCAATTCCTATAAAGTTCTGGATATAGTAAAGTTGATTGTTTGAAAACTTTAGGCTGGTCTTCTCTAATCTTATAATGCAATGCTGAAATTGGTTCTCTATTAAATTCCTCTGTGTTTGAATATCTTTATGATCTGTTTTATTAAGTATTTCTACAGCTCTTATCTTGGCACTCATACCAAACAATGTTATAAGAGATAAACCAAGAATTATCAAAACAACAGCAAGGATTTTCAAACTGATAATTAACAGTATGTCGATCTCAGTTAAGTTGATTATACCTTTATTTAATTGTTCTATTTTTTAAGTCACGCATTGCATAATTTTCTCTAACGTAATTGTCTTTTCCATTTTTGAATATGGGAAAAACTCTTTTAACTAATTCCTCCCTTTAAGAATTCTCAGTTTTCTCCGAATCTTCCGATGATGTTGATGGACATGAGACCGAGTGCTGCTGCTGTGTAGATGGTGAAAGCCTGACTGGATTCCATGGCAGCCGCATAGTTTGGCAGCCAAGAAAAGGGTCCGGGGAAAGGCCCCCAGGAGAGAAGAAATGAAAACCTAAGCAGCAGGATGGTGACCCTGGCCATGTAGAGCTCTGGCCTATGCTGGTGACGGCAAGGCCACAGGCAAATGGCTTTTTTTTCCCATAAATTTGTACCCCAAAAGTTGTATGTCAGATGTAGCATGAATTCTAGTTGGTATTAATAATGAAAACTCAGAGTCACATATAGGGGTTAATGCTGAAGATCAGAGGAGCAGAGCAGCCAGCCACTAGAGAATTCTTTTACCTCTAACAATCCTCAGACCGCATCTCCAAACTCCATCGGTCTCCACCAAACCTCAGACTGCACTGAGCTCCTGTCTCCTCCTGCCTTATAGTCCCCTCTCTGCCCATCCATATCACATTTGTTTCCACCTCACTAGTGCTGGGATTAAAGGTATGGGATCCCAAGTGCTGGGATCACCTTTGTGTGAGCTCTGTTTCTCTTTTCGACAGATTCAATCTTGTGTGGTCCAGACTAGCCTAAAACTAACCGAGATCCCTCTGCCTCTGTCTCCTGAGTCCTGGGATTAAAGTTGTGTGCCATCACTCCCTGGCCTCTAGTGGCTTAACTCTGCACTCTGATCTTCAGGCAAGCTTTATTTGTTAAAACGCAAACAAAATATCACTATACAGAGTCCTTCTAGCTTCTAGGGTCTCAAACTAGATAAGAGCCAAGCAAACTCCCAATGTTCATACATAGGTATTTCTAGGTATGATTTTTTGAAAGTTAGACTGGATTACTAAAGCAGTCCTATAGTGGTGATTATGAAAGTCTTCATAGGTGTACATGGTTACTAAGACACCAGTTCCATCTATATTTCTGTGAGGTAAATAAAGTGTTTGATTTTTTTCTCACTATTTATGATGGTGTCTGCAGGAAAGAGGGACATAATATTCCTACTTGGAACATCTTCCTCTCCTACTCCATCTCTACCATTTGTCTCATAAAGGGATGTGACTGGCTCCTTGGCCAGGACTCCTATGTGCTAACCCAGAGCGAGAGGAATTTTCCAAGTCTCTAATGTGGTAAAAGAGTAGAGTTGTCTTTTTCCTCTTGCCTTGCAGAGCAGACTCATCGTGAGGTACAACAGTGTGAGAAGGTGCCATGTCCTGGTCCTTAGAGCTGACCGGTGTCTCCCCTAGGAAAGAGGTTCATAGAGATGGAGTCCAGTGATGTGTCCATGGGCACTTGTGCAGCATGACATGCCCCTCATTAGATATCTTCAGAAGAGATTAGCTAGCCAGCATACTGCCACCAAGGCAGGGATGGCTGCTCCGAGAGTAGCCATGTGTTATTGGTAGTCTGTTATAGGCCAAGCACAGGGTGTATAGCTTCAGATGTTACCTTAAAGTCTTTACACACTGTTAGGTGTGGTCTGTTCCCATAGACCAGGTAGGGAAATGAAGGCTAAATAAATCTGAACTCATGTCTGTGTGATTATAAGTTTATTACTTCTACATTCTCATATATAGTTCATTCTTGTTCTAAAAGTGCAAAGTGATACAGATTCCCTGTATGTCAGCATCACCTTATAGGTTTTTACTGTGAAGGTATTATGTTTCATGTACTCAGCACCCCAGACACGTTAGAAATATAAAGACACCGTGGTGAGTGTGTGTGTGCTGATAAGATAACTGGGATATTGGCTGGGACGATAGAAAGGAAGGACAGAAAAAAATGGTGTAACTTAAAGTTGACAGGCACCTCTGAAAAACCTTTCACTGACAGGGACCTGCCATTATAATTCCTTGGCAGTGCCCCAGCCCTGTCCCCAGAAGAGCAACAGACACCAGATTGTCTACCAACAACTTTAAAATAGAAAATGGAGAGATCTTTGGTTGTATTAAATTTTAGGCATGTTAACTATTCACTCTTCTCCCGGCTGCAGTGCTCGCGTGTCTCAGCTCTCACATTGCTGACTACACACAACCCCTTCTGTGCTGGTGGGAAGGCCAGGATCCCCACGTATGTGCTCACCTGTAACTGTGAGCCTAGTGTAAGGCTGTGTCTATATAATTTCATATCCCCCCATCCCCTTTCGCCAGAAGCATCCAAGGAGTCATGAGAAGTTCTTCTTACGGTTTTCCTTCAGAGTGTTGACTGGTCAGGATATGTGGGTACGCTCCCTTCCCTGAGGAGGCCTGCCAGACCTCTTAGCTCTCCCCACGTAACTGATGTTTTTCCCTTACATGGTATGATGGCTCCTGGGCTATGCCTGGAGCCAGGCTTGCCTGGGCTGGTAGTCATGGGATACATCACTCTTCCTTGCAGTTTATGGGTGCCAGGCAGTTTTAGTAGGCCACAGGGTGAGGAAAACTGACCATATGCTACTGTTTGCAGCTTCCTGCTTGGTGGACTTGGCGAGGCCCTGCTGGTTTTCTCGGAGCGGAGAAGTTCCTGATGGAGATGCTCAAGGAAAGGAAACACTCGTCTGCTGCAGGAGAACACAGCACTCGGGCCTCCCTCTTAAGGGACATAGAAAGAGCTCATACAGTGCACCCAAGCTGCTCTCGGTGTTTGCTGATGACTCAAACACCCCACTTTCTCATTACTGAGGGGAGGATTTCCCAGGGGCCTCTACACCACTGCAGAGAAAGGACCCATCTTACATCTTCTCATGCAGGACCATCTCCACTCCGCTGCACCCAGTTCTGCAGAATCAGAGGCAGGGGATGGACCACAGCCTCTGGATGCCAAGACTTCCACCAAACACTGTTCTGTATTTGAGGTTACAGTCCATGGAGTCTTATTGCATTTTTTTTTTTTTGGTGGTGTTTTATGTCTTTCCATTTTGGAGTCTCTTCCACCCTTTGATTTTTCTGGTTTACCCACATGCCCACCCACAGAAAACAAGACATGAATGCTCCTTAGGGTCATGTAGGGCAGGGCAGGGTTGGGGGCTGAGCAGGGTTCTGGACCAAGTGAGGTACCAAGAAAGATCTTTAGACGGTGTTGTGAGTTGTGGTTGATGTAGATTTATTTCCAGCTTCTAAATTTCTTTTGGTTCTTGTGAATTTGTCAGAATGTGTTGAGTTCTGTAGAATCTGTTAGGTTAGGTGACTAAATCAATTACCTGAAGACTTTTGAGTCCTATGTGGCTCAGGTGGGTCACCAACGCCTTACCTGCTCTGTATTCTGAGAGCTGAGACTACAAACATGCATTCCTATTCGTAGGTTTTGTTCCTTAAAGTTTTTAAAAATGTAATTCCTTCATATCTCAGATGAGATCTCAAGGCATTGACCAGTGGATTTTATCTCTCACACCAGATTAATGATTGGAGTAAAGTCCCACACCTCACCACTGAGAAGAAGCTACTTTACAGAAAATAGTCGCTTGACTCTGAATCCACTAAGGCTTAAGAAAATAATGCTTCAATCTAGATATTTCTTCTTACTGATTTTACAAATACTTTTTTAAAGGCTCAATAAAATGGTCATTTATTAGTTTACTACAATGTTCTCAAACTTTAGTGTACAACAGAATCATCCAGAAGGTTCATTAAAACTCACATTGCTGACATTGCTTCCAAGTTTTGGTTCTGACCAGGTATGGTGGCACACACACCTTTAATACCAGCTGTTGGGAAGCAGAGACAGGAGGATTTCTATGAATTTGCGGTCAGTCTTGTCTACATAGAAAATTCCAAGCCAGTCAAGGCTATAAAATGAGACCTTGTTTAAAATGAAACAAACCAGGTTTCTGATTCTGATCCAGATTTTTTTTAAAAAAAATTATTTTATTGTTTTTATTGAGCTATATATCTTTCTCTACTCCCCTCTTTTCCTCCCCCGTCTCCTTCTGTCCTCTCCCATGATCCCCATGCTCCCAGTTTACTTAGGAGATCTTGTCTTTTTCTACTTCCCATGTAGATCAGATGATTTTTACAGATACTTTGATTCTGGCAAGTGTCAGAGAGTTTTGGTCATACTGAAGTCACTTCGCCAGCCCTGGAGTGTAGGAGATCTGTGCCATTGCTGGAGTGCCCCCCCTACCCCAGCTCTGGAAACCTACTCCCCCCACCCCAGCTCTGGAAACCTACTCCCCCCCACCCCAGCTCTGGAAACCTACTCCTTGTCTCAGGCTCAGTCCTAAAAAGAGTGAAGCCAGCTCCATTATTGCTGAATGTTTTTTCCAATTTGTTGGAAAACAAAGAAAATGAAACAATAGGATGGAATTATGTATTCAGGATGTGAGGATCTTTAGTTCATCTTGTTCTGGTCTTAGCTTATCACTTAAGGTGAAAATGTCCCAAGACTTGATGTTTATGTGGTTTGCCATTCACTTTCCTAGAGTATTTTTTAGATTTATTTATTCTGTTGTTTTATGTGTACCGTGTACCATGTGTATGCCTGAAGTAGAGTCACACACAGTAGTGAGCTGTCATGCATGTGCTGGGAATTAACAAGTGCTCTTAACTGCTGAGCCAAGACTCAAGCCCTACACCTTGCTCTTGAAAAACAGTTTTATTTTAAATTATGTGTGTAATAGATTAAGTAAAAATGCTGCAGGTTCCCGAGAGACTGCAGTGGGCAGCAGGTCCCAGGCAGGAACAGCACAGTTCCCCACGTGGCTACAGCAGGCCACAAAGAGAGACAGATAGACGGCACGCCATGAGACCACGCTGCAGGCCTCTGAAGGTGGCTGGTCCCGGGTAGGGAGCCACACAGCAGGCAAGACACAAAGACATGGATAGGCACACCATGCAGAGTGAGGTTGGATATTTATTTAGTGGGTTATGGAGGGGAAAGGGAAAGGAGGAAGAACAGAGAGGGAAAGGGCAAAAGAGAGGAACCGAGTGGGGGAAGGGGAGAAGTGGGGAGACACAGAAGCTGTCTCTTCGAGAGGGAGATGGAAAAGGAAGAGACTCAGGCTACAAGCAGGAAGAAAGATCTGCCTGCCTCAGCAGATGGGGTGGGGGGTGGGGGTGGGAGTGGGCGTGGCTTGTCTCTTAGAGATTCAGAACAGATCATTACATTCTCATCTCTTTTATAATTGAAAGGTGGGAAGTTTGGCACCACAGGTTAAAGGAAATGGGGCAGTGGGTTCTCAAGACTGCTTCCTACTTGTTTGTAGGAGTTGTGTTGGGAGGGGGACCTGAGAAAGCTGGGTGCTGGTTACATCGTGGCATAGCTGGTCTGTTTGTTTCTGTCCGGTGTTTGTGGTATGGAAATATCTGGTATCTCTTATACTTGTTTGAGGTATTGGCAGAAAAAAAACAAAGTTAAGTTAAGGAAAAACAATTTTTAGGACCAGGAAATTGAGAGGGATGTATCTGACCTGTTTAAGATGGATCCTTCAATTCGGCTCCCTGGAACTCACAAGAATTCTTTGGGTTTGTGAAAACAAAAATTTTAGACATATACATTGTATAAACAGTAGCATATTTATGTCAGAATGACTGTGACAGATATTTTTGCACACACAATGAAAAGCATTTTAAGACTATGCAAGGCAGCCTGAGAGAGAAATTTGATAACTTGTATTTGTCCTCACACCTTTATAACTTGCAGGTCTTGTATTTGTATTTTACTGAAATTTGTTTAGTAAAGTTGTCCTTTTAAACTGACAAAAACCTCAGCAGTCAAACTACATCAGAGATCTTTGAGAAGGATGAAATTTTACTTGAGTTACTGATTAAAAAACAACAGAGAACTTACTTGGTTGGCACCTAGAACTACTCCTCAGGGTCCTCCATGGTCACTGAAGGTTGTATTTGCCTTTTGCTGTTTAGTGCAGGGCCTGCCAGGCTCCAGAAGATCCTGTGGGCCAAGAAATCTGTAGGAAGACAAGCCTACCTTGACCTGAGCAACTAGACTTTAGATTCCAGCAATTCTGTCCACTGTCTGGTGATCTTTAGTTTAGATGAAAGGCAATTTTGCCCAGTGGTCAGCACTTGGAAGTTGAAGCAAACAGGATGGACGTTGTTCTGTGCCCATCTGTCTTCTGTCTTCTTTGGAGGAAGTAGAGTGCTGCTTGAAGTCAGACTGTCTCTTCTTGTTATGAAAAGTCTTTTAATAATTAAATATTTAAATGCCATATTCCCCAGATCTCTGAGCAGTTGAAGGCTGTTTATCAGGTGTAAGTACAGTATAGGATCTGTCTGGAGAGCTGTGTCTGAGCTTGACTGTACTGGTTCTTAACAAGTAATATTTACACTTGTAAAAAGAGAGAAAGAAGAAAAACTCCCTGCAATAGAAGGTTAACAGCAGAAATAAGAATAGTAGAGAACATCTTAATATATTTTAAATGAGGGTTGGATTAAATATAAAGTATTTTTGTAAGAGACTTAAAAGTACATGCCAGTTTAAAACATGAGACTTATTGTTTTTGTAGTCTGAAATGAGATGCAATGAGCAGACAAATATAACATTTAACAGTAAACATAGGTTCATTTAAGTTACATGTATGAACACACACACACATAGAGTAAACAAGAATTGGGTGAAGTGGATACTCCTGGTGGGCCCTACCAAAGGCATGCCACTGCGCAAAACACACCGGCAACAGAGTCAGCAAGAGGAATTTAGAGACAAAAATATAAGTACATCGGGGGACCAGGCAGGGTATACTTCAGTAAAGATGGCGGGACTTGGTCACCTGACCTGGCTCTCAGCCAAGATGGCAGCAAAGTCACCTGACCTCAGTTAAGATGGTGATAAGGTCACATCACCTCAGTTCAAATGGCAGCAGTCACATGTCGTATGGAAAAGCCACTCAATTAAGATGGCAATGAAGTCACATGACTTCAGTTAAGATGGTGGTAAGGTCACCTGACCTCAGTCAAAATGGTAGCAGTCACATGTTGTATGGAAAAGTCATAATTTTTTAGCTGCATGGATATTAAATTTAATAATAAGAGAGGCCTAGAGGTGTGATCTGTCCTGTCACTGAGCCCCATGCCACAAGCTATGGTGGAGAGCAAAAGACTGGAATTGAAAACAGCCACCTTGTGAATCCAGCCAATCTTGTTGGCAGTAGTAGTGGTGAAAGGGACAGTTTGAGGAGACTCCTTCCATTTGCCTGTGTACTGACAATAGTTAGAAGGCTCCCACTGACAATAGTTAGAAAGCTCCCATAAAAGTGGAGCCAGCAGGACATCAGTGGAGTGAGGGTAGGAGCTGAAGAAGTAGGGCGTTAAGGCCTGGGGTTTTAGGCCCTCTAAAAGACATCCATCTCAGGGGAGACAGACATGGATAGCTTGCTACCCACAGCGGAAACTGTGAAAACCCACGAAACAACGACACCACAAGTCTACAGGGAGATGTCTCTTCCTCTATAGGTGGGATGAAAATCAGTGCGAACACTGCAGGACCCATGGGAGGGCGTCCCCTGACCCTGGGTGGGGTGCTACAGTCTGACTTGATCGGGTCGGGATGACTCAGAAGAGGTCAGAGGCCGCTCTGAGTGGTCTTTACCAAACCAAAAACAAACAATACAACAGGGAAAAAAGAAAAGAAAAAAAAAGAGAAAGAAGAATCTGAGGGACTCTGGGCCCCCAACCACGGGAGGACTGGCCCCAGGCCATCCAAACACAATTTTAGCTAAGGAAAGCAATCCAGAGATGAATGTCAGCAAAGGGCTCAACTGTAGCCTTAAAGACCATGGCTGGGGGCTGTCCTTCCCATTTCTAGGAACACCAGAAGATTTCCGGGAGCTCAGTGGTCAATTTTTCGGATTCAGAGAAATGGTTAAACTGACCAGAATGGAGGAAATTCACCATTTGAAGCCGGTGTTGTGTGGAGAAATTGCGCTCAGGCATATGGAACACATATTTGGTTCCGGATTCCGACCCCGGGAGAGGGGCTTGGGGTGGGAGAGCCTCCGAGTCTAATAGCACCAATGTAATGATAAAAGTAAAATACTACAGGTTCCCGAGTGGCTGCAGCGGGCAGCGGGTCCTGAGAGCAGCCAGCCCCAGACAGGGACGACGCGGTTCCCCAAGTGGCTGCAGCAGGCTTCTGAAGGCAGTTGGTCCCAGGCAGGAAGCCATGTGGCAGGAGAGACACAGAGACATGGATAGGTACACCATGCAGAGTGAGGTTGGATATTTATTCAGTGGGTTATGGAGGGGAAAGGGAGAGGGGAAAAAGCAGAAAGGGAGAGGGAGAGAGAAATGGGGGAAGGGAAGAAGTAGGGAGAGACAGAAGCTGCCTCTTTGAGAGGGAGATGGAAAAGGAAGAGACTCAGGCTGCAAGCAGGAAGGAAGATCTGCCTGCTTCAGCGAACAAAGGAGGGAGTAGGCATGGCTTGTCTCTTAAAGGGACAGGACAGATGATTACAATGTGTATGTTTATAAGTATGCGCAGTGAGTGCAGGCACCCCAAAGAGGCCAGAAGAGAATGTTGGATCTCCTGGAGATAGAATTACAGGAAGGTGTGAGCTGCTTGATATGGGTGCCAGGAGACAAACTTTTGTCCTCTGCATGAGTGTTACATGCTCTTACCTGCCGAGCATGTTGCCAGTCTAGAACTCATTTTTGCTCTTCATGTAGCATAGCAACTAGTAAGTATGTAGTAATATCC